GATGGAGTGAACGGCTAAGATTAAAAATTGATCTTAGCCCATTTTAATATAACTTGACCCGTTTTGTATCCACCCCTGTGTTAACCATGGGCACGGGTTGGAGAGCTCTTTCGTTAACCGCATCAAACTTTCGATAGACCCATTTCTCTTTAGTTAATCGATCATTAAACCCTATAACGGGACCTATTAATCAAGTAATAACTATTTCACATAAAATAAGTTCCTCAACAAATATTTTCGATCCGTATTGAATCGGTAAAATTTCAATAATAATAATAATAATTTACCAAACTAAATGATCGGTTCAGTACAATTGATATGCAGATTTTTTCTGCTAGCCATCTAAAACGCCTTATTTGAACCTTTAGAGCCTAGAAGAAATAGCTCTCCCCCTTTAAAAAAATTGTACCAATATATCTTCAATGGGTTCTTCCATCTTGGTAAGTTTTTCTCTTTTTTTAAAATTCAATTTCCAATTTTAATTGTTGTTGTTAAGTTTTTATAATTTAGGGTTTGGGTGAAAACTTTTGTAGATTGTTATATATGTTTTATTTTTGCAACTTGAATTATTAATTAGTGTATATGATTTTTGGTGTCTAGTATTTCTTGTTAGGATAATCATGTCACATGATGATAATAGACCGACAAAGGAGGAAAACTATAAATAAATACAAATTTAGCCTACCCGTATAAAAATTCATGGTTCTGCCATTATTAGTTAATATACTTGATACACATTCAACACACAAACAAAAAAAAAAAAAAAAAAAAAAAAAAAAAAACATGATACAAGAGCAGATTCTGATGTGCAATTACATCAGTATTGCTAGCTCAGCATCTAATAGAGAACGAAATTCTCTTATTTTATTTTCCACAAAATTATTATAATTATAGAATTAAAGAAAAAACAGTATGTTTTATTAATATATGTGTCTTGATTTGGTGTATTTTTATGCATACGCATTTGGGGACGAGTTGAAGATGAAGATCAGGCAGCAACAGCTATGAAAACTCCAACAATGGCGGCCATGAAGACTTGGTATCCAGAAAAGATGAAACCACGAACAGCAGAGGATGGAGCTGGTGCAGGTGGACCCTCCGTAACATTGATGGCAAGTTTCTGGCCCAAAGCAGCACAGTGGTCTTTAACAGAACAAATGTACCATTTATTTCCAGCAGTCTTTAGCTCTATTTTGTCGTTTCCAGAGGTAAGTGGTGGTTGATCATTTGCTGTTGGCTTAACACATTCCTTGAACCCAGTTCCATTCACCTTGAACACATTGTGTGGGGGCTGGTAGTTGAACACTGCATGCATGCATAATATATAATGTTCATAAATTAATTAATATTCATGGATATATGTAGTTTTGAAAGAAAAAAGGAACTGTGATCACGTCAAATCTGGTTTTTGTAAGTTAATTATTAATTACGCTAAGAGCAATGTTCGTTTTCTAAACAAATGCTTAGTTTCAACCACTCGTTTTTACGAAATCAAATGGTTGAACGGTCTAAATTCACGGTTTAGCAATATAAGCATCTTAAAACATCTTCTATATTATGATAAAAGTATAATCGGAATGTATATATTACCTAGTGTATCACCAACATGAAATACTTTGTCTTTGGCCCAAGCTTGGTAGTCAAAATTAGGTTTCCAGCCGTTGTCATCTCCAACGACGAACTCCATTGCCATGGCAATTGTAGGAAGAAGAATCACAACCATGGTAATTAGGGTGAAAAACTTAATCGAAGCCATTGGAGCTAATTTGATATACCCCTTAATTATTAGGAAATTTTTGTGTTAGCTCTCTCAGTAGGTATACTGTTTTGTATATGTTCTGGGAATGTTTGGTCTATTTATACATTTTCTCTTGTTGAATAATTCATTGAAAACCCCGAATGAAAGACAAAACTTGAAGACTTTCTTTGGTCGGCTTACCACACTATGTTGCCAATAAAATAATATGGTCGGCTTTAATATGCTTTTTAACTACTAAATTTAGAGAATGAACGGGGAAAATTATGTTTTGGTTTGTAAAGAGTTACAACTTAGGGTAACATAAATCATAAATTGAAGTAAATATGTACTATTTCATAACCTAAAGTTTATGTACTATTTCAATTTCAATTATATATATATTGCTTAAAATATGTCTGCAAATTGCAATGTTCTATCTTTCTGCTAAGAATATATTTTATGAGGCATCGTTCTTTCGTAAATATATATATATATATATATATAATAGTCCTCTTTTATTGATGGATCCCTCAAATAATTTTATAATATATAAATATTTGAATATCGTATGTCTATTTTATATAGTGAAAGTCCTTTTTCAATTTTTTTGTTTTTGAAACCTCAAAGTTTATTATATATATATATATATTATGCAAGAAGTTTATTATAAGTTGGTTTCTATAGGGTAATTATCACACACATTGGATATTCTGGATTTTATTATATGCTTCTCTGGATCCCAAAACGCCATATAGACAATCTATGCTTCAGAGTTTCAAGCTGTAATAAAAGAACAACAAGAAGGTTACTTCTTTGGAAATATAAATCTTGCCGGCTTGGCTGTTTTTGGATATGTCAAAGCATATACACATATTTTTGTTTTCTTTTAGTTTTTGTTTTCCACAATGAGAAATGATGTGATGGTGTTTGGGCCAATTTCATGGCTCTAAAGGAAATTAATAATTAAATAATTAAATATCCAATGAAGGGTGAAGAGCGGCAACCTGAGAGTGGGTACAAATTGCTAAAATATGAATATGGTTTGAATACTTTTGATTAGTTGTATTCTTCTTCTTTATATGGAGATATATAAGAATTTACAATGGTGTTTTACAAGGAAATATATACAGTAATTAATTAGGAGAATATCTCATAATTATACAAGGATGTGTCAACTATATGAAACAAGAAAGTAAATCACCTAATTAACTCAGGAATAAATCTCCTTAATTTAGTAGGTTAACTCACGTCAACATATCTGAAAGAATTTATCTCCATTTTTTACATGGGTTTAGCTTGAAAGTACAAGGCAGAGCATTAAACGCTATTCAGAGCTTATGTCTAAAACTCAACCAAATCTCACGCAAACTGCTAGATGTTTTACTATCATCATTTCAACGACAATCTAGCTTTGCTTCACTTCAGCAAGGATTGATGGGTAGCTACTCCCTATATTATCGAGAAGTGAAGGCTGAAAAAAGAGGACACACACAATCAATCTCTCAACCATATTTGAACTTGATCAAATTAGTAAAGCAAACAAAAACAACAATTGTAATGCAAGTTGCAGCTACATACTCTTATGACAAAACAAGCTTCAAGGTAAGAAAAAAAAAAAAAAAAAAAAAAAAAAAAAAAACCAAAACTAAAACTAAAACCTAACTCAAACAGTAACGAAAAAGAATACCATTCAAATTCACTGAAAACCTCCTTGTCAACATATTCTAATCCACACTCCAGAACAGATCAAAACCTAATAAGCATAATTAATAACTCAAGAGTTACATGGTATCAACCAACTCAAATATAACATCATATTTGAAAATTGCATACCACCACTACATAAAAATTGAATAATCAACATCTCAAGACTAATAAACCCCAATAGATTCGGAAAGAATGTACCTTAATGACAGAACCAACTCCAATCCATTTGGGTCAAAAACTCTAGCCGCTCTCTCCCTCTGTGAATCCTAAAGGAAAATTCCACAAAGGGGGGAGGAGAAAGAAACGTCACTGCCCCTCCTCCCCCTCCTCTCTTCTCGTCTTTTCCTTTTAGATTAGTGAATAAATCCACTGGGCATTTTGAATTTTAAAAAAAAACCCTTTGTGGTGGTTTCTTTTAAGCCATGGTTAGATTAAGTTCCCCATCACCCCTTTTAGTCTATGTTCTCAATCAAATCCTACTCCCAAAACCTGCTCCCTAATGCCGCTCATGTTCTCCAAATTTAATTCTACATTGTCTTTGATGGAGGTTACTGCAAATCACCCAATTGTTCTTTGGCAAAGTTGTTATTTTCGTTTATTTGTTCCCTCTTATGCGTAGGTAGATCGATCGCTAGAAATCATATTTTCCCCAGATCTGTTATGGATGTGGTGGTGGGTGTGGCCACGACGGTGCTTCATTAGGTAGTGGTGATAGGGTTCTTTTAGGCTCATGGGTTGTTTTAGGGTTTTGGTTATGTTGGGTTTGTGGGCTTTGTTTAGGCTTATGGCTAATTGTGGTGATGTGGGTTAGTAGTTTTAGTGCGGCTTTTATCTGCGTTAGTTTTGCTTTGAGCATGTTAGTTTGTTGCCCTCTTGGGATTGGTATTTTAGATGTCTTCTTGATATCTAATGAAGTTTCTATTTGGTAAAAATAAAATAAATAAATAAATAAACTCCTATCCATTTGGAAACAATACAATTAATCAAAATTGATCATCAAATTTGAATCGTACAACCAACACACGCTATAAGTACCTCATATTTCGCACAACATCCACCAAAAAAAGCTCACACAAAAGTGGCACCAAAGGTATGTGAAAACGCTAGAAATACGAAAGAATGTAGTTGTTATAAAAATTATAGTTTTACTCTTTCCGTAAAAGTCAAAAGCAAAACTATTTATAATATAAATAATATATAAAATAAATTGGAAACTCTTTTAAGGTACAATAAAACTAAATAAACAAATAATAGGTAAATAAAAGTAAATTAAATTAAGATTATGAAAGGAAGCCTAGTATGGTGAAGCACATCAAAGACGTTGTCCTAAAGCCTTTGTAGCCTCCCTATGTGTAGGTGCTAATAGTTTACAAGACTCCAAAATACAACCCCCAATACACAGGCTCAAGGTTCGCAATAAGCATGCTCACAATCGGATATAGGTGTCCAAGTCACAGAAATGTTGCCCAAAAATAATAATATAAATGTTTTGGGGATGGTCAAATTTCCCTATATCAACCAACTCAGAGACGTGTAATCCACCAAGGAGGAATCTCTAAATCCTCTGGATCTCCAATTCACGGAAGGAAGTTTCGCTGAGGTAAGTTCCGCAAAAGGGAGTCTTGCCGAGGGAGTTCCGTAAAGGGAGTTCCGCAGAAGGATGTCCCACTGAGGAAGTTCGGCAGAAGGGAGTCTCACGAAAGGTAAGTTCTGCCAAAGGGAGGTAGTTCCTAGGAAGGGAGTTCCGTGAAAGGTAAGTTCCGCCGAAGGGAGTTCTGCTGAGGGAGTTTTGCCAAGAAAGTTCCTCAAAAGGGAGCTCCGCCGAGGTGAGTTTCGCCATCGAGGTTTCTCATTGACATCAAGTCTTATGCTCGAAGTTTCCCATTGCTATGCATGTCCAACCGACCATGGAAGTTCCTTGCCGACGTCAAGTCCTATGGTCAAGTTTCCTCCTCGTTGCTATGGACATGCTCAAATTTATTAATATATGTTGTTACTATGGCCAATATAGTTTTACCCATCAAGGTAGGTCTAACAACCAATATGACTCAAGTAGCCAATTTGGTGGCTAATATGGTGGGCACAACTATATTGGCAGATATGATCTTATGAATCAAAATGGTTCGAATGATCAACATGGTTTTGGTGGCCAAACCAATCAAGTGGCATGGGGGCAATACACTTACCCATATTGTCAAAACAGTTCCACCTATTTGTACAATGAGCCTAATTATTATTCCCACCAAGTAGATCATCCCATTGTCTATGGTGGCTAATATAATCTCAAGGTAAGTGATAGGCTATATGGTGGCCATACCCATATGGTGGAAGAATATATAAATGAGATGACACCTAAGATGGAAGTTTTATTAAAAGAGTTCGCATATGAATCGCAAACTTCTCACGACCTGTTCATTCCTCATCCACCAAGTCTTGGGGAAAAGAGCATATAAGTTAAGTGACTGAAATAGTCGGATCCATGACTCACCGATCAATGGTTGATTTTTTAAGAAGTATTACTCAACGACTTGAGAAACGGCGGAGAGATAACTCGCCACGAGGAAATGGTGTTGGTTAAAATAACCCATAATGATGGATAGTTCACATTATCTCGTGCTAAGAGTCTGTATATAGAAACCTCCTCCAAGAAAAAGATAATATATATATATATATAGGTGGATAGAGCTCACTACAACATGAGACCAAGGAATGGTCGAGTATGCATCAAATGGCCTAGTAAAAATTCATAGAAACTAACAACTAAGAAATTGAGGTCTTAAATTTTGATTAATCTACCCATTTGCCAACTTTAGGTTAAATGAATCGAGGGGGCAATATTTGAGGGAGGTCAATCCGAATCTTCCGGATCTCCAATCCGTGGTCTGTGGAAAGGAGTTCCGCAGAAATAAGTCCCGCCTAGGAAGTTCCACGAAAAGGAGTCCTGCCAAGGAAGTTCTGAGGAAGGGAGCCCCGTTGAGGTAGTTCCGCCGAAATGAGTTCTACCTAAAGGAGTGTCACTGAGGCAGTTCCGTCGAGGAAGTTCTGTGGAAGGGAATTCCGCAAAGAAAGTTCTGCGGAAGGGAGTTCCGCTGAAGTGAGTTCCACCATGGAGGTTCCTCACCGACGTCAAGTCTTATGCTCGAAGTTCCTCATTACTATGCATGACCAACCGTCTCGCCGACGTCGAGTCCCATACTCGAGTTTCCTCCTCCTTGCTATGGACTTGCTCAAATTTATTAATATATGTATTAATAAATAAATGGGACAATTAAATAAGAGTTTTCTTGGTGGATCCTAGAGCTCTCATGCCAACTTCCGCAGATTCTCAACCAAATCTAGAATTCCCCATATCTGAATATTTTGGGAACTCAAAGATGGTCCAACGTAAGGCCAAACCCAACATCCAAGTATTTGGAGTTCTCATACCACCCACCTTGGTGGATTGTCAACCAATTCTAGAATTCTAATTGGATGTCAAGATGAAGTCTTGTAGGTCCAAGCTCAAGCCACGGATTTGAACCCAAGATTTCCGGAGGATTGCATACATGGGACGGAGGCTTCACAAGGAAAGAAATCACAAAAATTGATGACAATTCGGAGTATTCCAAAACAAGAGAGAATCAAGCAATCAGAAATCTAATTCAGAGTATTACTAAAAAAACCTGAAAATCACAAAAACATCCATACAAAGCCTAACCATCCTCGACCCCGAAGAAGTGAAAGAACCTAGGCCAAGAGGAGGTTCTTTGCTTGGCCGATCAATCACTTGATCAGAAGTCAGAAGCGCAACATATCCATCCAAGCCACCACGCCTACACAACTTGAAGAAGAAAGACCAAAAGTTCCTTCTGTCAGCCACTCGGTCGAAAAGAGGGAAACTTAAGTATATAAAGTATGAAAGGTAGAAGATGAGAGAATCAGATTGTGGTATTGTGGTAGTATGGTATTATATTAGTATATCAAATGTGAATGAGTGGTCTTTTATAGGCATCCAAGAACAAGTAACCTCCACCACATTAAACTAGAAAATTTAGCCATATATAAATAAAACCTAAAAATTAAATATTGGCTAAAAGTCACTTTTGATCCTTGTAATTTGGCATTTCAACCACTTTTGACCCTGTAGTTTCAATTCCGTCAATTTTGACCATGTAGTTTCGTATTTGTAGCAATTCAAGGACAAGTTAGTATTCCTGTCAATTTCTTTGATGGTGCAAGGAGCAATTTCATCAACCCAAAATCATTGAGCATAAAAGCTCATCTAAAACTCCCTTAATTTCATATTAAGGCTTAGTCATTTGGGTTTAGGGTTCTTCAAAAATTGGGATTAGTGGTTGAATTTCAAACCTTAATATGAAATGGAGAGGATTTCAAACAAGCTTTTACTCTCAAGGGTTTTGGGTTGACGAAATTGCCCTTGCATCATTAAAGAAATTGATACAAACATGTCCTTGAAGGGGAATGTTAGCAACCTTTTATCTAACCTTCTCCTTTGGACCTTCTCCCTTCTTTGCTTGACATGTGTCATTCTCCTTACACATAAAACAATGCCATTAATATATTATACAAGCTAAATTTTTCTTTCCAAATTTACCCTTATTAAATGTATTCAATTTATCCAAAAAAAATTCACAACTTCCTTACCATTTTATTATTATTATTATTTTAAAGAAAATGTTTGTTTTAAAAAAAAAGAAGTAATGTTCGTTTTTTTTTAACACAATGGGTTTGATTGCATTTCTTATACTACTAAATAAACAAAAATATCCCCCAAATCTGAGTAGAAACAAAACAACACATTTTAACGGTTACAAAAGACCAAATAGTGAAATCTTTATACAATATTAAAGTCTTCCCAAAAAATTTCCAAAGTCTAGTAGTAGTAGAAACAAAAGATGATTAATCTTCCCAGACTAAACTTCACTTCTCTTCTTCAATGGTATACGAATTCACTACTCATCTTTCCAGACTTTTCATATGCAAATCTTCTCCAATATGTATCAACTGTTCCTATTACCACAAAATTCATTGGTCAAACAAGCATAAACAAAGTTCTTATAAATAAATAAAAATTCTATAAATAAATAAATAAATAAAAAGTTCTTATAACAATACCATCTTGTGTAGCTTGACCAGCAAAATATTCATGCATGCGTGAAGTCCACAAATTATAATTTCCCTGTTACATATAGTAGATATGCACCTTAATTAATACAAATATATTAGTAATAAACACAAATAAATCATATATGACAATATTAACTACCATCCAGTCCATATTTACTTTCATTCCATTATGCCCTTCGAGCGTCTCATATTCATCCTATAACATATCAAAGAAAAACAAGATTCGTTTATAAGTGATAAAATTCAATAAAAGGTTATGATTATTAAGTGCTGAAAAGAAGAATTTGTGTATCACCTATGGTATACTTACTATTTGTTGCAAGCATTCCTTGTGTGTGCTTGTTCGTATAACATAAAAAAACACCTTGACATGTACAGATGGTGCATATACAAAGGTTACTTCCTGGAATTCTCAAATAGCAGCCTGAATGTTGAAAAGATCCACCTCCATGTCCACCGTCCTCTCCCCCTTCACCATATGAAAGGCAACTTGGGAATCAAACTCAACCGCCACACCAAAGAAACCTCCGTGTTGGCAAGCTAACAGAACTGCACATCTATGGCATCCATCTCCTCCACGAGAAACCTCCTTGTTACTTTTCAGATTTCAATTTCTTTACCTAAACTCAATTGTTCTCTTTTTTTACCCAACTAGTGGGTTTTCGGGTTAACAAATATAAAAGTGTAAGGAGAATGACACATGTCATGAGAAAAAAAAAATGTCAAAAGAAGAAGGTTAAAAAGAAAGTTGCTAGCATTTAAACCAAAAGGTGAAACTGTATCAATCAATTTTTCTAGGACTCTGTATGGGGTTCAAAGGAAATCGGTTGGAAGTAATATATAATTTTGAAAAAGTGCATTTTTATGAACGCAATTTGGTTTTTGCAGGCACGATAAGGGGATTGGTATAAAAGGAATAGGCTTGGAAACATGGACACCACACAACTTGGTAATGAGATTTCTTCATTTATCATGTACACCAGTCAGTTTGGTGCGTTTGAAAATGACAAGAGGCAGGGCCTCAAAAATACACACAACTTGGTAATGAGATTTCTTCATTTATCATGTACACCAGTCAGTTTGGTGCGTTTGAAAATGACAAGAGGCAGGGCCTCCAAAATACCAAATATCAAGAGGAAAAAAACAAACACATAAAAATAAAAATAAAAATAAAAAAAAGATAAAATGCTCTCGAGCTCATTAAAAGCCTACTAGATATTTCAACACAGTTATTTAAACCAATAAAACATTATAGAACCGTTTCAAGTTCATGTAATGCAATAGAATTGAAGCTTCCTTTCTCAAATCATTCACTTGGTACTGGCGAGCTGGGTGCGGAGGAGCTTGGCAGCAGCAACCATGTTACTGAGGGCTGGCTTCACTTCAGCGTACTTGCGAGTCTTGAGACCACAATCAGGGTTAACCCACAAGATGTTTGTCTCGAGCACTGCAAGCATCTTGTTGATCCGGTCTGCAATCTCTTCAGTTGATGGTATTCTTGGAGAGTGGATGTCATAGACACCAGGGCCAATGCCAGCACCGTACTTCACTCCCTCGCGGAAGACCGACAGGAGCTTCTCATCTGAGCGAGAATTCTCAATGGTGATCACATCAGCATCCATGTCAATGATTGAGTGGATGATGTCGTTGAAGTTGGAATAGCACATGTGAGTGTGAATCTGTAGGTTTGTTTAAAAACAAAACCAGTTCAGAAAATTGAAGTAATTAAAAAAAGGGAGAAAACAAATGCTTACAATTAAAGAAAACAGAGAAGTGGAAAAAGACCTGAGTAGTGTCCTGCACACCACAGTTGGTGATCCTGAAGGAGTGGACAGCCCAATCCAAGTAGAAAGCTTGCTCCGACTTCCTTAGGGGCAACCCCTCTCTCAAAGCAGCCTCATCAATTTGAATAACGTTGATACCAGCTTTCTCAAGATCCTCCACTTCATCCTTGATGGCCAAAGCAATCTGGTAGGTAGTCTCAAATCGGGGCTGGTCATTTCTAACAAAGGACCAGTTAAGAATGGTGACAGGGCCTGTAAGCATTCCCTTCATTGGGCGGGCAGTCATGCTCTGAGCAGCAGATGACCAGAACACAGTCATTGGGTTGGGGCGGCTGACATCACCGTAGATGATTGGTGGCTTCACACATCGAGATCCATAAGATTGCACCCAGCCATTGACAGTAAAGGCAAAGCCTGATAATTGTTCTCCAAAGTACTCAACCATATCATTCCTCTGCCATGAGAAGATACAAATAATGAATTAGAGGGACACATAAAAAGACGAAATCTTAAAATAGATGAAACATAAGACAGAATTTCCAGTTCTCTTTAATTGATAATAACTAAAAAAAATAAGCAGTAGAATATCTCTCTTCACTTTCTTGAAGAGATATTCATAAAGGAAATCTCACCTCGGGCTCCCCATGGACAAGGACATCAATGTCGAGCTCTTCCTGAAGCTTTACAACTTTGCTAATTTCCTCCTTAATGGCCTTGACATACTCCTCCTCAGAAATCCTGAGTACAGCACACATCAGCACAATTAATAATGCATTATTAATGAAATAGTTGTGATTCACAACTTTTATGAAAAATACGGAACAATTAATTTCACTCACTTCTTGGCCTTGTATTCACGACGGACCCTCCTGAGTTCAATGGTCTGTGGGAATGATCCAATGGTAGTGGTTGGGAGAATTGGAAGGTTAAGCTTCTTCTGTTGAGCATCAAGTCTAGCACTTACATTAGTAGCACGGCGGTGGTCAGAGCCCTTCAACGCAGCAGCCTGTGAGGCAAAAGAAAAAGTCAATTCAAAGTACAAAACCATTTTAACAGCATGTCAATTGGAAAGGCATATGAATTGAAAGCACTTACAGCCTTTTGAACAGCCTCATTGGTCACCCTTGGGGAGGACTTCCTTGAAGCCTGAGCTGCGGCATTAGCAGAGAAAAATGCCTGATGACAAAAACATAAAAGGTGAGTTATAATTAGGGATCAGTACAACACAAACAGATAAACAAAACTCAAAAGAATCCTGAGAAACCAATGCTGAAGTGAACAATGTCAAACTCCAAAATGTGCAATCTAATACAGATAATATTATACTGCCAACTCTTCTAACTTTTATGATTATATGCCAAAATGCACGAAATTTGTGCTTTATGAACAAATCTGATAACCTAAATGAAAAATATGGTTTTACCTCATCCTTGTGACCAGCCAAGGCCTTGGCCAAAGCATTAACTTCAACAATTTTCTGGGCAGCAAAAGCAAGCCATGATTTTATTTCCTGGTCCAGCTTGGTCTCATTAACAAGATCAACAGCAGTGTGAAGAAGAGAGCAGGAGGTGGAGACAACAAGTTTATCTACACGGGACAAACAAATAATTAATGAAATTCAACTTTAGAAACTAAATTATTTGACATTATCGCTAAAAACTGCATAAAAGTTGAATACCTTTGCCAACAATGCCTTCAAGAGTCTGTAAAGTACTTAGGGAGGCAGAAAGATCATTAGCCCAGATGTTCCTTCCATCAACCAATCCGGCAAAGAGGTATTTTCCCTTAGGGAATTCACCCTTAATCAAATCAAGGGTCTTATCACCACGAACTAAATCAAAACCAAATGCGGTGACACCTTTCAAGGAAGTGAGGGTCTTGAATGCCTCAGCGGGAACATCAGCAAAGTAGGTCTCAATAAGAACATTCAAGCCAGATAGAGTTGATTCCAGGTGAGAGTAGGCTTCAGTGAATGCTTGCAACTTGTGAGAATCAAGATCCATAACAAGCGTGGGCTCATCAAACTGAATCCATGAAGCTCCAGCAGCCTTAAGCTCAGATATAACTTCCCTAAACAGATATTCATAGTTGGAACAATAAGTTGGATACTCAAAATTAACAGAAGCAAGACAAAGTGTATATCTGATATACAAAGAGTATCTTACTTGTAGATTGGAATGATTTTTCCAAGAAGAGAGAGAAGAGAAAAGGACTTCTCAACACCCTTTGCTGGTTTCGAAAGCAACAAGTATGACACAGGACCAACAAGGACTGGAATGGTGTCCACTCCAAGCTGCATAAGAAAGATTGGATTAAGTTTTCACCATAATTAACGTGGTAAACAGACTAGGATTTCCCTTCAGATATCCATGTGTTTGTGTTTACTTGTGCGCCTCTCTGCCAATGCGTGCAAACATATATACAGAACAAATGATATAGAGAATAGAGAATGAACATATCATATATACATACCGCCTTAGCCTCCTTGTATTCCTCGACAGCCTTGTGAGAAGCATAGGAGAAGTTGACATCAGGTCCCAACTCAGGGACAATGAAATGGCTGGATTAGTACATTAATTAAGTTAGTATAAACCATACGAACGCATAATAATATGTTGATACTTTTAATAAACATAATGCTGAGAGAGGGTTTACGTACTAGTTGGTATCGAACCACTTGGTCATCTCCATAGCAGGAACTGAGGCATTTCCTCTGGCCATGGAGAAGTATGTGTCAAATCCAATCTCACCACCATTCCATCCATATCTAGGTGGAACAGCCCCGAGCAATGCAGTGGTGTCAAGCACTTGATCGTAGTATGAGAAAGTGTTGCTGGGGATGTGCTTGATCCCAGCATCAGCCATCTGCTTCCAGATGGAAGATCTCAGATCAGCTGCCACCTTCTGTAAATCTTCGGCACTGCTCTTTCCCATCCCAGAAAGATTCCAAAGCAAACTTGAGCTCTCTCTTGGGGCCCATACGAGGGTATCCAACAATGTGAGACGCCATTTCTCTGTTTGATCAGATCAACAACCAACACAACTTAGCTGACTTAACAACTAGAAGAAGAAACATTTTCACGATGACCAGGCAATAAAAAGTTTAAGAGAAGTTTAAGTTACATCATGTCAACCATTCAAAACACCCTGACAGATATACACAGTATTTTTTTGCTTCAAGAAAAGAGTTGATTGAAATCAAGAACAACAAAAGTTTATACCCTCCGAAAATTTCAAATGACAACAGATTCACAATAGAGCTTCCTTAGTTATGATTATTATGCAAACTAAATTATATTTCATTGAATTAAAGAAATAAAAAAAAAAAAAAAAAAAAAAAAAAAAAAAAAAAAAATAAAGAAACGTCTCTGTTATCTTCATGTGGAAATGAAAGAAAAAATATTGATACTGAGACATCCTGAAGAAGTACATAGATGCTTGAATTATAAACACTCAATCAAATCCAACCAGAGAACCTACAACCTTATATAGCAGAACTTTGTGCTTATGGATCTAATGTTTAAAGCAAGGAATCTCATCCTGAAATCGTAGTAAAGCAGAGAAACAGTTGAAAGAGAAATGGTCTCACTTATAGATCTAACGCTACATGCAGGGAATTTATCTGAACCACTTAAGAAAATCAAATTTTTATTTGGCCTTATCTTTAAGAAAATCAGAACAGCCAAAAAGAAACCCACTTAACTCAGAGATCTACAGTAAAACCCAAAAACCCAATAACAGATCTACAAATACCAAAACCATAACATACTCAGATCTGCAACCCAAAATGCCCAACAACCAAAATCCCAATGCCACCAAATGTTCATTCAATTAAACCAAAAGGGTATCCGAAAAATTCAAAATTTTCGCAAAATCCAACACAGAATCGCAGAAGTGGACACTAACCAGTGTAGATCTCAGCGTAAAACCAAAAAATCAAATCAGTTTTTTTACAAATGGTAAACAAAAGAGTGAAAGGTAAGCTCTAGATCACGTTGGTATGGCAAAAAGGGTTGGAAATGATGAGGAAAAAAAAACCAGCAATACGCAGGGGTCTGAGAGAGAAGCCTAAAAGAAGAGAGAGATAATAAGAGGAGGAACAGAACCAGAAAATTGAGGGGAGGGTCTTCGTACCTTTCGGAGGTAAAGAATACGTGACTGGTTCTTTCTTCTTCTTCCGCTTGGTTCAGTTACTAGCGTAGAAGAGAGAGGAGCGAGTTCGAATGGCTCACTCTCGCCTTATTTATAGCCATATGCGCTTGCGTGGCTTTCTGCTTATAGATCTGGGATTCTGCCCCCCTGCCTTGCCTTTGCCCACTCTTTCCCACGCTCATTTTTTTTTCTTTTTTCAGTTTTTTAATTTTTTTTTCCGGACTTTTTTTAAATTTTATTGACACTGAAATCGTGGTGTTGTTTTTTAACTAATTTGGAGACGACGCGCTTGTTTTGGGTCGTGTGGTGGGTTTTGGGCGATGCGGTAGGTGAATGCTTTGGTGGGTCCCACCCCTACATGCCTGGGGAGAGGGTGGGTTTGGAAACCGGAGGGGATTAGCCGATAGGAGCGAGGAGTAACATACGTAGATTCTCATCTTGCTTTTAAATTTTATTTGTTTGTTTTAAATGGATCGATTAGATAAAACTTAAACCCCGACGACTTTGTTTTTTTTTTTTTTTTTTTTTTTTTTTTTTTTTTTTTTTTGTCACCTCACCTTTGGGTTTTTTGGTCCATTTATTAAAACGTTCCAAATTCATATCCTATGTGTTTAAAAAGTTACATTCTTTAAGCCTTGAATGTGTTTATCCTGTGTGTTTAATAAGCATATTAGTAAATAAACTCAAGTCTTCATTGTCACATTGGTTAAAAAAAATTACAATTTGAAAAGGGAAATTTGTTTCTTCTCAAAAAGATGCTCTCAGCCAGTATACTTGTTGATTTTCAAATTTATGAATTTAGAAGACATTATAATTAAGGTAAAAATATGGTGTGTATAGACTATTATAATTCGTGTATGTTCAAATCTGGACAAGGAAGAAAAGAAGAAAATAAATGCATTTCAAATGATTCTTTCCATATAGTCATTTCAAATGTACTACATCTAGTTATTTCAAATATATTCAATCTAATGTGGTGGTTGTTTTTAGAGATATTTATTCTATAAAAACCCATATAGAGCCCATTTGGATAGAACAACCCAAAACTAGTTCTAGTGTGTTAAAATTTACTTAAAAGGTAATAAGACTCAATTAGAAAATGACAAGTGGTCTGTCATGTTAAAATTGGCCTATTTGTGAAAAGCCTTTGTTTTTATTACAAATTTAGCTTTGTTTTCAAATCCAAATCCCTTCTTTCAAATCCTTTTCATCCAAATAATAATATAACAAGAATACTACTCCAACACCAATTTTTGGACAACAACTTATATGTTCGGCTCTCTGTGTTTCATTTGTTTTCTTTTTGGGCTCTATACATCAAATTGGGAATCTAAAACTTAGTGTCACTTTAACATACATAATTTTATCTAGAGAAAAAATTAAGTCATGATCGAATTAAATGTATGTGTGATGTGTGGGAAAAATAAAAGGAATGACTATAATGTGTTAACAAAAAATTTGAGAGGTGAGAGAATTGAATTTGAGAAGAAATTCTTCGATCGTGCAGATGCACCACGTCGCCCTTCCAACTAGACACATAGTATTGGAGTGGAACTAGCATGAGGCCATGTGGGAACCAAATGCATTGGAATTTTTTTCAAATTTGAGACCTCCTTTATAATTATAAAAATAAATTATGAGGTTATAGCAAAAGAAATGTGTTTCAAGCCAATGAGAGTTAGTTGAGTTGAAAAGGATCGTTCCCTTCGCTATTAAGGCTTATGTTCAATTCTCGCTATCGACAATCCCTCTTGGTGGAGTAATCTGTTAAAACTAAAAAAGAGACTAAGATCTCATTTGTAATCTCTCAAAGAGGCTTTGATATGCCCTGATCATGGGATGAACCCACTCATTTTAATTTTTTTAACGAGGAACCACCTCTTACTAGGGCTTAGTGGACCCACCATATGGTTGGTATAAACTCCGGAGAGACTAATGCAGCAACCCACCGCCACGGCGCCCCAACTTAAATATTTGGTTTGATGACCGAACCCACGACCTGTAGAGCACACACAAGCGCAACGGTGGCTTGTTGGTAAACTTTTATAAGGTTTGAACCTTCTGTGGACAGCATAGCAAAAGCAGGATATCCCAACACCACCCACTGTTCATCACGCGCCTGGAGAGCGCTTACTAAACATCGTCTCCCCTCCCCAGGAATATTAAAACTTCTGTGGTGATTTTGAAACGGTTAAATTTGTGGAGAAGTAAATTGGAAATTATGAAATAATTTTAAAAAAATAATAATAATAATAAAAAGTTGGAGACTGATTTTTTTTTTTCTTTTTCTAAAATAGACTCAGAGTTGGTGACTGGAGTTTTTGGGGGTTGGTGAGGACGCCACTTGTTTGCACTACGTTTGGGAGATTACATCTAAATTTATCAATTACCTAATGTACCCTTTGATTTGTATGAAAAAGTATGATGCGGATACGTGTTTTGTTGTTGAGTGAGTAGGTGTGATGGGACCAGATTTATACTTAAAACGCAAGATAATATAGTAAAACAAAATTATGGCAGCTATGAAAATGCGACAAGATTTTGATGTTCTGAAGAGTTACTGTTATCAAAATTAATTCATGTTTATTTATAAGAAAAAAAAATGAATGATTTTCATTCGTAACTTTTTCGCTCTCGTTTATTTGCATGTTCAAATGCGATAAGATTTTGATATTTTGAAGAGTTATTGTTACTGTTATCAAAATTAATTCATATTTACTCAAAAGAAGAAAATGAATGATTCTCGTTCGTAACTTCCCCGCATTTATTTACATGTTCTTAATCAAACACCTGAAAGACTAACCACATTCACTTAAATACCATTAGAGCAACAAAATGAGGCCATCTGTAGCTTGAGAACTCAGGGATCTCAAAATCATCCCATGAAATCTAATTAATGGAAATAATCCACCACACGCATCATGATGTTTTGAGGCCGAGCCTCCAACAATGAGAGCAGATTATTGGCTTTGATTAATTAGTGGGTGTGAGACGACCTCCAATGGGAATGAGACGTCGTGGTCCCAATTAATGGTCTTTGCATCTAAGGTTGAGGATTACAGCTCGAAGGAGAGCTTAAGGCACCGCGCAATGAGACATCAATGAAGAAAGACAATTGAACGATAGATAATGATACTCCAGTTTTTTTTTTTTTTTTTTTTTTTTTTTTTTTGAGGGTTTTTTTTTTTTATTTTTGGGTTTTTATAAACTACAATTTCAGAAATTGATATTTACACATGGGAGAATTCTAATTGATATTTACAATTTTGATTCCCCTTCTTCCAATATCCAATATTCGCCCAAAAATAAGGTATCACAACTTATGGAGGTAGACAGGCTCAAAAGGCCAAATACAAGGCCCAAAATCTTTTATTTGCGTCTACGAAGGCCCATGGGATAAGATAGGCCGACTAGGTCCATCAATACCCATGCGGTCGGACCTCAAGAACAATGCATGGACTAGGGTTGAGCATTTAAATTGGTGAATCGAGCCCCAGAAACGAGGAAAAAGCCATGTTAACAAAAAACTTAACCTAGGATCAAAAACCGAACTGGATTGCTTTGGATATATTTCCGTCCCGATTCTTCTCTTGAAAAAACAATCTAAATTGAACCAACCGATTATGTTAAATTTACTTATTCATTTATATCAAAATTAGTAGTAACCCTAATTAATCTTCAAATCACATTAGTAACTACAAGTCATATCTAAATATTTTAGCCAAATTAATACCCAAATGTCTTAGTTTCAGTTTCCAAATTATACCAAACTAAATAACAACTCTAGACCAAATTCTTTTTCTTTTCTGTAAACCACCCGTTCTTGTTGTGCTTCTGTCTTTCTCTATTTTCCACATATTTCTTTCTATTTATCTTCCTCTTTATCTCTTCACAAATTTCTCTATTATTTATCTCTCTCTCTCTCTCTCTCCTCTCTCTCTCTCTCTCTCTCTCTCTCTTATTTATCTCTTCTACCACTTTTTCTCTTCTATTTAAGCTCACATGTCAAAAGATCATCCCGTGACAAAATTTGAGTTACGAAGAAGTCAGTAAACATTATCTAGAATGTGTATAAGATAAGTGTGTGAGTACTTCTTGTAATCATCATTCTATAGTGAATTGGACTGAGGAGTCCCATTGATTTTCCCCAAAGGTCGGGTTTTACCACGTAAAATAATTCTGTGTGTTCCTTTATTTTATGCTTTGCATGTTTCAGGATTGATAAGCTATATTGATCATGCTACCGAAGTTTATTTTTATTTCTTGATTATAATTTTAAATTAGCTTATTCACCCATTTTTAGGCATTATTAGTCATCCTACAAGTAATTCAATGTCCATATTGGTTGTTTGTTACAAAATTTTAGACAACATTGAAAAATTAACTTAATTTATAACATGTGTAAACAAAATAAAAAGTTTATATCATACATATTATATTATTTGGATTAATTATAAAAGGAGGTTAGAGAGTGCATCAATTAAATCTTATAAAGGAATGCGAGCCTGGATCGGACAGGGCCGAACATGGCCATGGACATACCTTATCGGGCCGAGGAGTCGAGGGTTTCATATTCTAAGCCCAAGTTCTACCCAACCTTAGAGTAGGCCGGACCAAACAAACCTAACCATCGAGTCGAGCCGAACTTTAGCCCATCGAACTACCCACTTCGGACCGCGTGCCAAATGTTTATCCCAAACTATGTACCTCATCAAAATCCATGCAGATCAAGCGATCCTAGTGTAGCTGAGTGCCTTTCACATTCCATGTTGTACAGCCCACTTCAGCTGCCATCTTTCTTTTTTTGTTGTTGTCCTTTTCGAGGGACTGCAACCGCTATCTTGTTCAATCAAAGAGGTGTCATACAATGATATCATTTATTATTTAGATTTTATTTTCTAGTGGACCGCGTAAACCTCTCTTTCTTCCGTCTTTGTTTAATGTGTGGCTAGTGCCCATCTACAAAGACTTCACCTTCTGTCTTTCATATAATTTATCTCTGTCACTATGAGTTCATTATGGCTTTGATTAGATTAATTAGACCTTCATGGATGAACACAACACATACATCATACATGTAAATATGAAAAATTCAGGGGTCCAACAAAGAGCACACTCCTTTGATTCAAAAATCTTTACACCTCAATCTTCCATACCATTAATTCAATCTGTTTATGACAAT